TTGCAAAGGGCTCCTCCTGTCCTTAGCTCCCGTGCCCTGGTGGGTTTGTCAGTCCTAGCAAAAGTATTCCTCAGCTACAAAATCAGAAAATAACAGCTAATTACTTTTAGACAGGGCTAGTTAACAAGGTATGAGACAACAGAGGTCTCGAGAACTCCTAGCATGTGGGCAAATGTTTTGCAAATAGGTATCGTGCATTCCAGCACTCAAAATTACGCAGGCAGAACTACACTGCTCCCATCCGTTACCAAGAAAGCAGTCCCCGAGGGGGCACGTCTCCGGGATCTGGATGGCCCCATGGAGCACTGGCATGACTCCAGGCTGGTACAGACCACGCTCCACTCCACCTGATCCAACTGCTATTTAACTTCAGCAATCAACAGGAGAAATAGAGACCATTTAACCATAATCCTAAATGGCCAATTAGTAAAACAAATATTCTAGAGTAAGGGCTCCAACTGCCCTTCCACAGCAGCTTTTTCCAGACAAGTCACATACTCCATTTTTATAGAAAATAACCCACTTAAAGGCCAGCTATGATGCTAAACAACACCCACCTTAATGCAGGTGAAAGTTATTTAACTTGAAAGAACTGAATGAAACCACTTTGCTTCCAACCTACACACCAAAGCAAGCATGTTTAGAAGAACAGACCTGCAAATAGATGGCAAATACGCAGGGCATATATTAGTTGTACAGAGGTCAGGATCATAAGCCTGATTCCTCATTCCAGGAATAGTGGGACTATCTGTGTCTATTCTGGTCAGGCCAGCTTGGATGCAGAACAAGAGAATACTTTTCAATGGTGACATGGATAGTAGTTTATGTCCTTCAAGGTGCAAGCTTAGATCCTGCCAACATGCAAAGGAATCTTCTGGAGAACTGATGGGGAACAAAGGTCGGTAGGTATCTGAGACACCTGTTCCATACAAGAGAAAATTCACTTTAAAATTGTGGTGAACAGTTTCAACACAGCCTCCCCTCAAAAGAACGGCAGAAGAATGAAACACGACTTGAGCATTCCACAATGAAAGGTATGTCCAAATCACTTGACGCAACCTCCAGACTACGCACTTTGGGTACACAGGTATCAGCAACAAATACAACAGAAATGCTTGTTAAGTGCATGCCTTGCAGGGAACATACACACTACAACTTGTTAATTTTGTAATAAGAAGTCCCATTGTTTTGTTAATTTGCATGTCAGACATCCAGTTGTTGCTCTTGCACCTTCCACTGACTTTTTTTAGCACGTTTCTCTGAAATCAAGGCACATTCATGACAGAGGACGTGAAGTTCGGACAAGGAAAGCACTTATCCTAAAGTGAGAGAAAAATTAACATCAGAGAAGCTCGATCACCTTGCACCGCTTGCCTACTTACCCAAAAGGAAAGATTCAGAAAATAATAACTACCCCTGTGAAATCAGAAGGAGGGCGGCAATATTCTCCTTCACAATGGTGTGTGAAAGCAATCCCATACAGAAACACTGCGCGGCCGTGCTTGGGAGGAGAGAGGAAGCTACAAGAAGATACGTACTGGAACACAACATGTGTAAACCAGAAGAGAACCAAAGAAAACCAAGAATACCATTAAGAAAAACAAATGGAAACAGGGAGCCCTCGCCTACTTTCAAATGGGAACACACAGCTCCCCGTAACAGGAAATACAAGGCCAGATTCTACCCTCACATTCCTAGGAAATCCAAAGTAAACTTTCCTTCCGCATTTGAAGAAGTAATGGATATTGGAAGGAACGCACGCCCGTGGAGGAAACTTCCCGGCAGAAGTTTTAATTCAAGCCCTCTCCTATGTGCAGGAGCTGGCTGAGCTACACCAGAGCAAACCACCAGAAGAGCTGCAGGACGCAAGTGGAAGTGGTGGGCAGCACCAGGTTCCCCGCGCCGTTACACCAATACGAAAACCTCCAGGAAACAAAAAAGTGTCGTACACCACAGCAAACACATTCCCACCGCTCACTTCCAAGCTAGCCAGTTAAATCATCACCTTTCCCAACTGAACGTTGTGTCGAACACAGCTTTCATCTTTGCCATGATCCTCACAGAAGCAAAAGCGTAGAAAAACTCAACATATTTGCCTAAATAGAGTGCAATAAAGTTGAACCATAAACCAGCAAGCATAAAGCTGAGGAAAGGGAACTGGTGACACACTAACAAATCCAGTATTCAAGTAGGTACTACAGGTTTAATGTAATCTTTGCACGACAACTCCCAATTCTCTCGAGATGGATTTGACCTCATTTTTATTTAAAAGTGCAACTGAAATATTTATAAACAACCCCTTGGAAAAAAGTATGCAGGTGCAATTCAACTGTCTAGCATCTACAGTGACTTTGACTTGGCAGGTCAACTCACTGTGTTGGAGGCTCCTTTTACGAGATCCTAGGGAAAGGGGATAGCTGCATCTGAGAAAGTCAAACCTCCAACTGCTGCCAGCCACCCCTCCCACACACCAACAGATTATATCGAGTCTGAAAAAATACACACACGGTGAGAATTAGCCAACATCCCAACTAGTTCTCAAATCAGAGAGTATTTATCAGCCAAAGAAAATTCTACAACAAACAACCAGCTTCGCAGTGGCTGGGGGCAGGGAATAGGTTATACCAGATCTTAATAAAAAAACACACAGTAATTTGATGAAAACCAGTTGTCTCACCACGTCTATGATGTCTATCTTTCACAACTGGTTGAGTTTTTTAAAAAGTGAGTTTGATAAATTTCCGGTAAGTGTTACTGAAGTGAGCCTTAATGAAGCAAGGCGGTTTTAAATGTGGAAAAGTGTCATTAGCTTGTCAAATTGCAACTTAAAAGTCAAGTTCATCAGACGCCTTATATTTCAAGTAATAAATTATCAATCATAACTCATTAAGTACCTTTACATCAGTCATTTATTTAAAAAATTCTGAAGAATTTCCCCGGCGTCGACTCATACGTCACATACTGTAACACTCAAAGCAATACCACAACAAAGAGCTCTGACCTCCCAGGTCTTCTCAACACACAACGCTCACTCACAACATTCAATCACTCCTGCTTTCGGTCATATTTATTCATAAATGATATATATATGCAAGAAGACATGATGGTCCATTGAACACTGTAAATACTTCCTCAAATTCTACAAACAAAAGCAATTTATAAAGCAGCAAAAATGAATAGAAAGCTGATGAATTAAATGAATTAGAATTAGAAGCCATTCATAAGGGTCCATTAAAAGCTAAAAAGAAGTACAATGCTCTATACCCGAGGATCACATCTGCAAGTAGGGCTACAGTTCTTAACCCAAAATCATCAACTGCTATCTCTCTTAAGGGCCCTTTAAAAAAACCAAAACATCCTACCACCTCAACAAATAGTTTGAAAATTATCATCTAGGGAGAAAAAAAAAAAAAAGAAGGGCACACAAAAGCAAGCTGCTGCTTTCAAAATGAACATCAGCATGGTGGCCAAATGAAAATGATTGAGCCTGATACAAGATACAACCCATATGGACTCCTACATCTCATTAAGGCTCTCCTCCTACAAACACCCGCGCACATGCTTGACGCGACGCTGTGAGAACTCGCGGGGACGGCAAGGCTACGCGCTGTAGTAGCACAGTTAAACACCAGCCGACTGCAGGATCAATGTGTTTCACCTGAGCCAACGGGGAAGCCAAGGAAACAGAAACCCACAGAAATCAAGCGTGCTGGGAAGGTTTAGCTGCACGACAAAACACGATTGAACAAAACAAGAGAAGAATCACCTCTAGGCGTGCAGAACACGGCTGTCCCGAAAGCTCGACCCTCCTCAGTGCTTTAACTACACTAAATAAAATTGTTTAAAGTCCAAGACCCTTGTATATTTTGTAACCAACCGTCAAAACCAGGACACCGACATGCGCTGCAGAACACATGGTTAAGTGCTCCAGCACTGTTGCTGTAACCCCAAGAGTTTCAATGGCCCAAAAGCACGCTCCCCACTAAAAACTGGGCACTTCACATTGTTTAAAGTACAGCGTGAACAATAACCAACCAAAAACGCTTTCGCCTCCTTTGTGAATCAAGTCAAGGCAGCCAAGTCATGCAAACAGCCTGCTGATAAGAGCATCGCAATACACCGCTTCACTCAAAGGAGGAAAACGCCTATCACAATGGAAATCTTACGGACTACTTGCCTGGCAGAGCAGAGCAACAGGAACTCAAATTTGGAAGGTACAATACGAACAAACCAGAAGTCAACATGGTAGAACAAATCAGAAAAATAAATGAAAAGCAAAGCACCACATGCTTGTTTTAGCGCCAACTGTTTTTTCCAGGACAAACTTTCAGAACCCATTAACTGGGAGAGCGCAAGTTTTGGGGGCTGGTTTTTTTTTTCGATTAAATTAACCACTGCACGTCACCTTCACCATCTCGTAAAGACTTCCACAGTTACTCAGCGCAAGGCAATCAGAGAGACCTGACAGCTAAAGCTTTCAGAAATCCGCACCATTCCCACACCGAACACAAAGCCGATTCCTTTCCGATGACAACCGAGAGATCAACATCTCAGGAAGGGAGGTGCTGTTCTCATGGCATCTTTACTTTCAGCCATTTCCCTTCTCGCTCCCTAACCCTCAATCATCTCTACTCCTTTAGAAAACACAGGTAAATCTCCACCCAAACTACAGAAAACCATCTGCCCCAATCCACAGTCCGAACGTTTCCGGCTGCCTGTAGATCTCCACGTGTCCTCCGTATATCAGCGACAAAAAAAAGCACAGAACAACAAAAAGATTCAGGTCACTGCCACATCCACAAAACGTGTCTTCCAGCTCTAATTAAGCGCTTGAAAGAGAATTTTTAAAATCCACAAGCTTTTGAACGGGGACAGAAGGGGCTGCATCTGGAGGAAGGAGGGGTGCGACCAGTCGATATCCAGGCAAGAGCGGAAAAAAAATCAACAAGTCGGCGCAGCCCAGTGCGGAGCGAAAGCCGTGTCGAAAGGTGCGGACGTACCTTGTGGAGGTGCCTTTCCTGACATCGCAGATGCTGCACTTGAAGGCTTCGGCGCTGTTTCTGAAGGTGCACACGCTACAATCCCAAAAGCCTTCGTCGGCTGCAGGTTTGGCTTGCCTCTTCGGCCTTGAGGAGGGGGAGGGCGAGGGAAGCGTGTGTGTGTGT